TGATCTTTGTTTACTGTAATTGGTGCCTCCTGGGTTCAAGTGGGTCTCCTGCCCCAGCCTCCTAAGTAGCAGGGACTACAGGCACGTGTCCCCATGCCTAGCTAATTTTTTGTATTTTTAGTAGAGACAAGGTTTCACTGTATTAGCCAGGATGGTCTCCATCTGTTGACCTCATGATGCACCTGCCTCAGCCTCTCAAAGTGCTGGGGTTACAGGCGTGAGCCACCGTGCCCAGCCTCAATTATTATTATTTTTAAACAGGGTCTTGTTCTGTCATCCAGGCTGGAGTACAGTGGCACAGCCACAGCTCACTGCAGCCTTGACCTTCTGGGCTCAAGTGATCCTCCCCCTCAGCCTTCTGAGTAGCTAGGACTACAGATGCATGCCGTCATGCCCGATAATATTTTTAAAAAATAATTGTTGTAGTGACGGGATCTCATGTTGCCAGGCGGGTCTTGAACGCCTGGTCTCAAGCTATCCTCTCACTCTGGCCTCCCAACATGCCAGCCTTTTTCATTATCACTATATCTGGTATACGATCTGTGGTCAGTGATCTCTGATGTTACTGTGAAGGCGTCCTGGAGCACATGAACTGCGCCCATATCAGACAGTGGACTTAGTGTTATGTATGCTCTGACTGCTCACTGACCCTGATCCCCATCTCTCCCCTCAGCCTCTCTACTCCCTGAGACACAGCAATATTGAAATTAGGCCAGTCAATAACCTTAAAATAGCCTCTATGTGTTCAAGTACAAGGAAGAGGCACATGTCTCTCACTTTAAATCAAAAGCTAGAAATGATTAAACTGAGTGGGGAAGGCACATTGAAAGCTGAGGCAGACTGGGCGTGAGGCCTCTTGCACCAACAGTTAGCCACATTATGAATGCCAAGTGTTTGAAGGAAAATGAAAAGTGCTACTCTAGTGAACACACGAATGGGAAGAAAGTGAAACAGCCTTATTACTGATACAGAGAAAGTCTGAATGGTCTGGACAGATTATCAAACCAGCTATAACATCCCTTAAACCAAAGCCTGATTTAGAGCAAGGTGCTAGCTCTCTTCAGTTCTAGGAAGGCTGAGAGAGGTGAAGAAGCTGCAGAAGAAAAGTCTGAAGCGGGAAGAGGTTGGTTTATGAAGCTTAAGGAAAGAAGCCATCTGCGTAACATGGGAGCGCAAGGCGAAGCAGCAAGTGCTGATGGAGAAGCTGCAGGAGGTGACCCAGAAGATCCAGCTGAGATGACTGATGAAGACGGCTATGCTACTCAACAGACTTTCAGTGTGGATGAAGCAGCCTTCTATTGGAGCAAGATGCCATCTAGGACTTTCTTTCTTTCTTTTTTTCTGAGACAGAATTTTGCCCTTGTTGCCCAGGCTGGAGTGCCATGGTGAGACCTTGGCTCACTGCAGCCTGCACCTCCTGGGTTCAAGTGATTCTCCTGCCTCAGCCTCCCAAGTGGCTGGAATTACAGGTGCCTGCCATCACACCTGGCTAATTTTGTATTTTTGGTGGAGATGGGGTTTTGCTGTGGTGGTCAGGCTGGTCTCGAACTCCTAACCTCAGGTGACCACCCACCTTGGCCCCCCCAAAGTGCTGCGATTACAGGCGTGAGCCACCATACCCAGCCTCATCTAGAACTTTCATAGCTAGAGCAGAGATATCAGTACCTGGCTTCAAAACTTCAAAGCATAGGCTTTCTTGTTAGAGGCTTGATTCAGGCATGCATCCTTGTCATCTTCCCTAAGGATTGTGCCCTTCAAAGCCTCAGGTTTTCTGATCTAATCTCCATCTCTGCTAGGGCCCCGCACTTGCTCCCCTCTCCCCTACATGTTGCCTTGTGATTCAGGTCACCAGGGATACCCAGATAACCCTAGGGAGGATAGAGTGTCTTTAGATAACTCCAATAGGATCTAATGAATTTGCACTTTTTTGGAATTTCTGGCCTACAAATAATTCCCTTAGTTTCCCGCCAGTGTGGTTGTGCATTTAAAAGGTGTATGCATGTTAAACGTACTGTGCAGGAAAGGTTTTCCCTGAACACTAAATCTGTCATATTTTAAGAAATTGAGGGCTATTTATATTTTTTAGTTTCTAGCCTGAATTGTAGCCTATAAAATTATGTTCTTTCACTTGTTAAAATTTTATATTTGGTTCACCACAAGATTATTGCCACTTATAGTGTTTCCCTAGGCACTGGAAGAGAATGCGTGTGCTCTGTAGGTATTGCAAGATACGGCAGATTCTCCCCACTACCCACTCCGTGTGCTTCTATTCCACAGTGAATGAGAGATGGGAAATTTGAATCCTGCCTTTTCAGAGTTGGTCTTAGTTCTGCTGAGCCTTTCACACGTGAACATCTTACACAGTAAATGATTGTAGTGTTAACAGAGAAACAGCACCCGTTTTTACTACCACATGGCTTAACACGTGGATCAAGTATTTCAAGTGGGACAAAACAAAAGAAACGGTGATCTGCTCAAATGCTGCTGGAACTACTGGCTCTGTTGGACTCGCCGAGAGACGCTATTGCAGTTTCCAGCGTGACACCTTTTACGGGAAATCAAAAGTAATTTTGGCCACATACAATATTATCCTTACATGCTGACTTTGGGTCTTAATTCATAGATAAGCCGAAACTCCATTTTACGTATCTCTTGACTTAGGTCAAGTTAATTAATAATTTTATTCACATTCCCCACTTGCTTATCTATTTTATGACTACTTGATCTACCAAATTCTGAGAAAGATATATTAAAGTCTCCTAATAAAATTGTGTTTTTGTCATATTCTTACCCTGTTTCTAATAGTTTTAGTCTCATGTATCGTCTGGCTTTTTGTTGGGTACATAAAGTTCATGAATATTTTATCTTCCTCATGGATTATACCTCGTATCGCTATAAAATATCACTTTCTTAGTCCCATTAAAAGTCCCCTATTGTCAGTGTACCTGCAGGCAGCCTCTTACCTTGAAACTTTCTAGATGGGAATTAGGCATAATACTTGTTCCCCCATCCCCAAACCAGGAGAGCCATGTTAGTGTCCTCGAGTGGTTTTCCGAAGCCCCCTCTTTTCTTTTCTCCAGGGGTAGGAGGGGAAAACGCACAGCATTCAGAAAACTCTCTTGGAAGAAATCCTTACCATTAGCCTTTCTTATGAACTCCCAGCCTTCTTTCTAAGCTGCCTTTGAATAGCTCAGAGGCTAATAGGAGAAATAACCAGTTTTGAGACATCTTCTTTCCAAGTCCTGCATTGATAATCATGATTTTGAAACATGTTTGGCACCTGTTAGTGATGGACACCTTTAAATATCCTGTTTTACTGCATTTTTAAAAATTATTTTTTTCTTCATTTTTCTTTTATTTGAAGAACTCACTGCTCTGCCCCTTTCCTCATCCCCCCTAACAGCAGGTATCTCCCAAAGCTCTTCCACTCTCTATTTAGAATCAGTCAGCTAACTTATGTATGCTCCTGGGATCTCCATACAAGATATATCTGTATTGTTAACTTTTTATCATCAGCTCTTCCTTCCCACTCCAGGCCCAAAGTAGAATTCTTAACTGTATATAGAATATCTTCACTTAGATATCTCATTGTCCCCTCAAATTCAAAGTCAGAACTCTTATCTCAATACCTCACCCAAAGAAAAACCACCCCATGACCTATTGTGGTCAAAGAAAATACCATTATTTTATTTTATTTTTTTTTTTTTTTTTTTTTTGAGACAGAGTTTCGCTCTTGTTACCCAGGCTGGAGTGCAATGGCGCGATCTCGGCTCACCGCAACCTCCGCCTCCTGGGTTCAGGCAATTCTCCTGCCTCAGCCTCCTGAGTAGCTGGGATTACAGGCACGCACCACCATGCCCAGCTCATTTTTTGTATTTTTAGTAGAGACGGGGTTTCACCATGTTGACCATGATGGTCTCGATCTCTTGACCTCGTGATCCACCCGCCTCGGCCTCCCAAAGTGCTGGGATTATAGGCGTGAGCCACCGCGCCCGGCCTAATACCATTATTTTAATCACCTGGTCTAGAAAACATGAAACTCTATCGATTCCTTCTGTATTTGCCTCATGAGATCGATATAATCTCTTGTCATTAGACTCTTTTCTCTTCTTTCCATTCTTATGGCCACTAGGTCTTCCTTTGACCTCCTTCCTTGTTAACGTCCCCCTTCTCCATTATCCATGTAGAGTTTATTTTTCTTCTGTGCCATTCTTTGTGCTATTCTCAGGCTGATTTCCCTAGAACTATGCTTCCATCATAGCACTTCCCTAGTGAAGACACTAACGGAAGTCTCTAGGACATGGGCTGAAACTTTCTTAAACATTATGAACTGCCTTAAGTGTGTCTCCCTCCTTTGTTTTCTACCTTCCTCATTCAGGGCACTTTCTGCCTTCCTTTGCACCGCCACGAGCCATAAACAATGTGCTAACATTTTGCTAACATTTAGCTCCATTCTGTTATTAGTGTGATTTCTTTCACTGGAAGTGTCTGTTCCAGTCTTCTGGCAATGTAAATTTTGCTGATGTTCTGTGTTCTCCAGAAAGTTTTCTTTTACTGCTCAAAATAGTATTAATCTTCCCCATGTCTGAATTACTATTGTGCCTGTCAATAATGCAAATAATTATAAAAATATCTCCTGTGTCTTGCTCGGATTTAACTTTTCTTGGCTTTTATGTGTACCCTTCCCCCCACTCCTCCTTCTCCAGGCAGCTTAATTGTAAGTGCCTTGAAGGACAAGACTGCGCTTATATTTGGATCTTTCATGGCAGCCGAACACAGGAAAGTCCTCAGAATGTAATTGTAAAATGATTAATTTAATTGACACTTAATATAAAATATTCTACCCACATAGAATGTTTCATGTGATTGCTATAAAATGAAAAAGCAAATATGTAAATAACAAGAATAACAATGATTGAATGCATAGTAGGCATCAAATAAATAAAAATTTCATTTTGAAGAAACAATGCTAAAACTGTTACAATAACACATATATTCACCTATAGTTTGGATCCAGGATCTTCAGACGAAATACATACATTCCAGAATGGCCCATGGGCCAAAATATGTGGTTCCTGTTAGAACTGTTGATAATCTCGTATGGTTGATTTAAGTCTCCTGGTTTTCCAATGCCATAAGAAAAACAGTGTTTATAGTTCTGAACAAGAAACAAAGACAAAATTCTTAAGGTCATTTTATGACTTTGATAAGCAAAATTATAGTCTCATTTATCTTGAAAAATTATTTAGAGATGTAATGGCTTTTCCCTTCTATTTTACCACTGCAGTGCTCTATAGCACTTTAAGAGCTCTACTGGGTTACAATTTAATAAAAAATGAAGCTTAGTGAAAGCAAATGTTGTATTTATAAACAATTAAATTAGAGTGTTGAGAATACGTAAGCATATTATTTTCCTAAATCAACAACATACAAAATCCTCCAAAGATGCTTAACTGGGGATAGAAACAGCTTTGATCATAAGGTACAGAAACAACAGTTAAGATGGTATACGCTTGGGTTTTTATCTTCCCCTTGGATCTTCATTTATCCCCATTACCATTACCGTGTCTTTCTATGGGTCTCAAGATACAAAATGTCTCTTGCCTGCCTTTTTGAAAACACAGATGAAACAAGCCGTATTTTAAAAAGTTACTTTGTTAAAACAAATAAAATGAAAGAAAATCATTGTTAAAACTTGCAGATATCTGATCCTATTATTACATGGCATTGCTTTTGGGTTCTTTTAGATCCTGTATGTTTTCACACCCTACTTAAAGGACTCTTCCTCCACCATTCTTGATCTCTGAAAGCTTCTCATCTGAAGGAAACAAGAAACCTTGTAAGGCAATTACTTTGGATGTATCTGAGCTTTTGTCTACCAACATCCTTCAAGGTTGCTATGGTTTGAATGCATCCCTCAAAGTTCATGTGCTGGAAACTTGGTCCAAAAAGTTGAGATGGGAAGTGAGGTCTAATGGATCCCATTAGGTGTTTGGATCACAGGGGCACTACTTTCATGAATGAGTTAATGCCGTTATCACGCAGTGGGTTCCTTACAAAAGGATGAGTTCAGTCCCTCTTGCTTGCTCTCTCACTCGCCCTCACCCTCTCACCCCTTTTGCCTTCTGCCATCTGATGATGCAGCAGAAAGGCCCTCACCAGGTGCCAGGCCCTTGATCTTGGGACTTCCCACCATCCAGGATTATGAACCAAGACATTTCTGTTTATTATAGATTACCCAGCCTCTGGCATTCTGTTACAGCAGCACAAAATGCACTAAGACAATGGTATTTTTCTTTTTTCTACATATCTTGAAGTATTTCTTTTTCATGAACAACGTCCCAGTCAAGAGAGCTTTGCGATCAATCAGCTCTTGCATAGTCTCAGAGACTTCCTCATGGCAACTCCATGGACAAAAATGTCATCATGACTAGATGGTGATAATTACAAGTTCTAGAGGGAAGCTTATTGCTTAAGCTTATTACTGGGCCTATATCTTCAGTCTGACACACAGTAGTCAAGATATATTTGTTGAATTAATGTGTTTTTTGTTTTGTTTTGTTTGTAGGGAGGGGGTCTCACTCTGTCACCCAGGCTGGAGTTCAGTGGCATGATCATAGCTCACTGAAGCTTCCACCTCTTAGGCTCAAGCCATCTTCCTGCCTCAGCCTCCCAAGAGGCTGGGACTACAGGAATGTGCCACCATGCTTGGCTAAGCTTCACTTTTTTGTTTTGAGGCAGAGTCGCTCTATCGCCAGGCTGGAGTGCAGTGGTGCGATCCCAGCTCACTGCAGCTTCCACCTTTTGGGATCAAGCAATTCTCCTGCCTCAGCCTCACAAGTAGCTGGGACTACAGGTGTGCACCACCATGCCCAGCTAATTTTTGCATTGTTAGTAGAGATGGGATTTCATCATGTTGGCCAGGACGGTTTCAATCTTTTGACCTCATGATCTGCCTGCTTCGGCCTCCCAAAGAGCTGGGATTACAGGTGAGCCACCGCACCTGGGCTTTTTTTTTTTTTTTTTGAGATGGGGTCTCACTATGTTGCCCAGATTTATTTCAAACTCCTGGACTTAAGCAATCCTCCCACCTCAGCCTCCGAATGTGCTGGGATTATAGGTATGAGCCATGACACCTGACCTGAAATTTTTGCAAGCTGTTTTATTCAGATGTGTGGTACAATTCTGATTGTGCCTGCTGTTACTTTCCTGGATATCATGAAATGTGAGGATACTGACATATCCCACATACTATTACTTCCATTCCAATAATCAATTACAGTCATGTGCTGCATAGCAATGTTTTGGTCCCTGATAGAACACATATACAATAGTGGTCCCATAAGATTACAACAGAGCTGAAAAATTCCTGTTGCACAAATACTTACCATTTCCTTACATTATTTGGTATAGTAACATGCCGTACGTTTTTGCAGCCTAGGAGCAATAGGCTATATCATATAGCCTAGTTATATAGTAGGCTGTACCATCTACCTTTGTGGAAGTACACTCTATGATGTTTGCATAATGACAAAATGGCCTAACAAAGCATCTCTCAGAACATGTTCCCATCGTTAAGTGATGCATGACTGTACTTTTCATTTATTCTAGGAGATGAAATATCTGTAGCTAATTTAACAGTATAACTTTAATTAAAGGATCCCAGTATCACCTTTTCCTGAGAGCAATGTTTGTGGATATTTGTCTTTTTTTTTTTTTTTTTTTTTTCCTTTGTCCATTATCATTTTTAATAGAACTCTGGTTCCTCTTGGAAATCATGAAAGTGAGGGTAATTCCAAGTCCCCACCTTTCATTCCAAAAGCTGACAGGCACAGATTCTTTTGCTCCCTACCCCAGGACACAGCTGGAGTGGTGGTAGGGCAGCTCTACCAACCCAAGTTCTCTCCTAGGAATGTGAATGAATAATGAGGATGCAACAATGAGAGCAATGTTTAGAGGTCGTTCTGCAGAGTGGCAGCACCCCAGCCAGGTTGAGGGAGATTTGTTTGAGTAAAAAAATATTAGGCTAAAATGTGTTCCAGATAAAAATGTAACATGTTACATAACTGAATTAGGAGTAACATGTGTAGGCCATCAAGATGAGGAGGAGTTTTACATGAACATATTACATAGTAAAAACAAAAATAAAGAATGATTTTCAAAATAAGAAAGATTAGGAGGAGAAGGTGGCTTACCATTTATATTCTGGTAACCACAAGCATGGGTTGAGCCAAAAACACAGTCTGACTAAACGGAGCAGAAGGCCCACTTGCTACTCAGCTGTGGGTACACGCTGCCTGGTCGCCTTGGCTATGGGTTCCTTCCTCACGCCAGTGGTACTGGGATGTGAAAGACTAAGGAAGTACATAGTAATCGGGGACAGAGAACACATATGTTCCAGCTCTACTTTGACAGACTTCTGGGAAAAGTGTGGAAGGTATTTGTATAAAAAGCAAAGGGTGAGATCACAAGACGGACAGAATTTTGTTGTGCATAGCGTTGTATTGACCTGTACTGTCAAGGAATTTTCACAGAAGACAGGCTTGTCATATCTCCTTTGGCTTTAATTAGCATCACTGTAAAGACTCAATGTTTTGTGTGCCCATGTTGCCATACTTGCCCCGTCTGGTGGCAGTCTTTCAGGGAAGGAAACCCCAAGAAAGCAGGGGAGGGACTCCACAGCGTGACTCACGTGCAGGGTGGTGCCAGCTGCGGAGGCTCTGGGAACACAGCCTGAACACCCTGTGCCGGGCCGAGGAGGCTTTCGCTGTGTGTTAGTTTGTTTTCTGTTGCTTATAACAGAATACCTGAAATGGAGTAATTCATGAGGAAAACGAATTCATTCCTTTCCAAGGACGCTGAGAAGTCCAAGGTCAAAGGGTGGCATCTGGTGAGGGTCATCTTGCTGGTAGGGACTCCGCAGAGTCCCAAAGTGTCACAGGACATCCCAGGGCAAGGTGGCAGAGCATGATAGCTCAGGTCTCTCCTCCTGTTCTTATGAAGCTGCCAGTCCCACTCCCATGAAACCCATGAATCCATTATCCCATGAATCCATTAATCTGTGAATGGATTAACCCACTTTTGGGGGCTCTGCCTTCATGATCCAATCACCAATGAAAGGCTCCCCCTCTCAATGCTGCCGCATTGGAGATGGAATTTTAACATGAGTTTAATTGGGAAAGTACATGGTATAGTCTAAACATTCAGCAACTCTGCATATATCATTACAACGAAGCATTGCTAGTAAAGACTTAATAGCCTTGTATCATTATATATTTTTGTATATGGACAGGCAGGACTATTTATATTGTTGCCTATTTAGTTATTTCTTAATATGAATAATCGTATCTACTGAGTCTTGTTCTTTTTTTCTGTGTCACAGTGTAATAATGACACCCTTCAGTAAGAGGAGCCTTATTCATGAGGGCATACCTAGTCTTTGCGGGTACCTGCTTTCTATTATATTCACACTTCAGACTGAATTCACCCTTTCAGTGGTGAGCTTTATGTTTCTCATGCAGTAGAATCGAACATTTAGGGCCTGGTGTGGGCACTCCAGAGTCTTTCTAGACTGTATGCTACCATTTCAATTGTTCTTAAATGTAGTCCCCACATCAGCAGTATCAGTAGCATTGAGGTGCAAATTTTTTGGCCCCATCCAAGATCTGCTGAATTAGAAACTCTGGGAGTGAGACCCAGCAATCTATTTTAACAAGGTCTTTTGGTGGTTTTGATGTATGCTGAAGTTTGAGAACCATTGTACCATATCATACCGAATGAAGCAAGAATCTTAGAATACTTAGGTACCTTTTATAAGATGTGGGGATATCATCCTCACCTATCATTTACACCTATTCCTAACTCCAGACCGTTGGATGTCCTTCAACAAAAAGTTAGGAGGGTAAGTTTTGTTTTAACTGACTTAATTCCTTATGATTTTAATGTTTTAATTTTTTTGAGACAAGGTCTCACGGTGTCACCCCTGCTGGAATGCAAAGCTGTGATCATGGCTTACTGCAACCTCAACCACCTGGGCTCAAGTGCTCCTCCCACCTCAGCTTCCTGAGTAGCTAGGACTCCAGGCATGTACCACCTTGCCCAGCTAATTTTTTTGTTTTGTAATTTTTGTAGAGATGGGTGTCTTAGCATGTTGCCCAGGCTGGTCTTGAACTCCTGGGCTCAAGCAATCCATCTGCTTTGGCCTCCCAAAGTGCTGGGATTACAGACATGAACCACAATGCCTGCTCCCCTTATGAATTTTAAATACTAGAAAATTACTCTTTAGAGTAGGTATATCATGTTTAATTAATTAATTTGGTACACAAATATTTATTGAGCACCTACAATAGATTAGATGCAGAGAACAAAACAAAATTTCCTTTTCTCATGGAGCTTACATTCTAGTAAAGGAGCTAGATAATAAATAAGATTTTAAAAGTAGGCTATGTAATGTGTCATATAGTTATAAATGCTAATGATATTAAATAAAGTAGAGGAGGGAGCCTGGGCGAGGTGGCTCATGTCTGTAATCCCAGCACTTTGGGAGGCTGAGGCGGGTGAATCACTTGAGGTCAGGAGTTTGAAACCAGCCTGGCCAACATGGTGAAACCCCTGTCTCTACTAAAAATACAAAAATGAGCTGGAGGCAGTGGCACACGCCTGCAGTCCCAGCTACTCGGGAGGCAGTGGCACACGCCTGTAGTCCCAGCTACTCGGGAGGCTGAGGCACACGCCTGTAGTCCCAGCCACTCGGGAGGCTGAGGCACACGCCTGTAGTCCCAGCTACTCGGGAGGCAGTGGCACACCTGCAGTCCCAGCTACTCGGGAGGCTGAGGCACACGCCTGTAGTCCCAGCTACTCGGGAGGCAGTGGCACACGCCTGCAGTCCCAGCTAATCGGGAGGCAGTGGCACACCTGCAGTCCCAGCTACTCGGGAGGCTGAGGCAGGAGACGTGCTTGAACATGGGAGGCGGAGGTTGCAGTGAGCCGAGATTGTGCCACTGCACTCGGTCTCAAAAACAGAGCAAGTCTCCGTCTCAAAAAAAAAAAAAAAAAAAAAAAAAGGAAAAGAAAAGAAAGAAAATAGGGAGGGGAGAGATGGGCTTTCATGAAAGTGATGGTTAAATTTTTTCATATGGTGCCAGGGAAATCCTCATTGATGACCTGATTTTTCAGTAAAAACCTGAAGAAGTCAGGGAGCTAAGTAGTCTTTACAAAGACTCACTCTTGATGTTTTTACATGTTTAACAGATATTTAATAATCTGAAAACATATATTTACAGCAGTGAAAATTAAAATAGAATCAACAAAAGATCAAACAGAAATTAAGATGAAGCATTTAAAAACTACGATGATACAATTCAATATAAAAATAGGATTTGATTTACCAAAACAAATTTAAATCCGAAGTATTTCTATCAAGTTTTTGTTAATAGCAGAATGCCAGATTAGTTATTCAAAACCAACAATTTGCAAGGTAATGTTTCTCTTACCTCAGGTCCCCAGACTTCTTCTAACGGGAGGTGCTCGTTAAGTTTAATCATTGAGTTCCATGTCTGTGCTGTATGTAAACAACCGCTCTGTCGAAATATTGCATATATATGTGGGTGGGTAGAAGTTTTCATATCAACTTATTTCTAAATCGTTAATGTTTTATGCTATTGAACATTTTGTATTTTTAAAACTTTCATTATTTAAATGTTTGCTGGTATACAAAGGAAAAATTGACAATTGGTTTTTATATGTTGATCTTGTGTCTAGAGAATTGGTTTTGAGACAGTCTCACTCTGTTGGACAGGCTACAATGCTATGATGATCACAGCTCACTGCATCCTCTACCTCCTGGGCTCAAGTGATCCTCCTGCCTCAGCCTCTTTAGTACCTACGACTACAGACGTGTGCCAGTATGCTGGACTAATTTTTAATTTTTATAGAGATGGAGACTTGCCATGTTGCCAAGGCTGGCCTTGAACTCCTGGCCTCAAGCCATTTTCCTGCCTCAGCCTCCCAAAGTGTTGGGATTACAGGCGTGAGCCACCGTGCCTGGCTGAGAAAATTTCTTAAACTTACTTAGTAATTCTAATTGTTTCATGTGAACAATTGTGTCATCTGTCAATATGACAGTTTTATGTTTTTCTTTCCCATCCTTATGCCTTTTGTTTTTATTATTTTTTTCTTTATTACACAGATCTTCCCGAATCATGTTGTGTAGAAGTGGTGATAACACCGGAGGTCAGGAGTTTGAGACCAGCCTGGCCAACACAGTGAAAACGGTCTCTACTAAAACTAGAAAAATTATCCGGGTGTGGTGGCATGCACCTGTAATCCCAGCTACTTGGGAGGCTGAGGCAGGAGAATCACATGAACCTGGGA